CATTTGGACTAAACGAGCAAAATGCAGAAGTATATAGTGCACTTTCCAGTGAAAATAGAGCTCTAGCAAAAAGGCTGAATCATTATTGTTCTCAGCATAGAGGACGAAAACTTAGTCACGTGGGTGTCTTAGAGAGTGGATCACCGCCCGGGGTCAAAGACTAAGGCAAATAAATGTGTAGAAGATATTTGGTAGAATTATTGCCGAAGAATAGGGGTTGTGCGACATGCGAATCGTATATATATTCAAAAAATTTTTTTTCCTTTCCCAAAGTTCCAGTGAAACTAAAGTTACTTAGCGAAGTGTCGGACGAGACATTACGCAAATAAGGGTAGGTTTACTTTCAGTTTAGGCTGAGTATTTGTAAGATAGCGTCTTTAGTGCTTGTAACTATTACATAGTTTCCCTTTCAAGGTTCTCCTTAGCGTCACGACCAATGAAACGGAGGTTAGGGTGAAAAATAACGAATATAGCGGGTTATTAGGTGGTGGATAGAATAGACGCAATGAACAGGATAGTCTATCATGTATGAAGCGGGTCCCTTTGCTTTAGCACCTTTGGCTAAGGCCGGGGCATAGAAAAAATCGTCATGTATCATGGACCAAGTTCCGCATTATGTAATTTATTTTTAGTGGTCCCTTTGCTTTCGCGTCTTTGGCTAGGATCAGGCTCAATGTACTGCAAATAAAAAACGTTTAGGGTACTAAGTGATCCGCAAAATGAAGTCAATTATTTTTCTCGTGTGAAAGGTGATTGGTGTGATTCCTCTGGAATCTATATACTATTTTTTTATTCCTCGAGCGTATATGCATATTAATACAGAGTAATTTTAGGAAATCTGGATCGGCCGGGCAATATGATTTTCAGCGAAGATCTTCAGAAAAAACTTTCATGTTTTGCGACAATCGTTACGACTAACTGCGGAAGAAATATTAATTATAAAAGTGCTGGATATATCAGAGGGTCTGGTAAGAAAAAAAGTTCTTTCAAGTAGTACGCATTCTAACACTGCAAATTCAATCAACCAAACCAATCAATCTTCGTACATAAAACCCTTATTAATCAAAATACAATTTTCGCGCATAAATCTAATAATCGAAATTAGCAATAAAATGCTCTCAAATTCTGATATTTTATTACTTGCATTTTTCTCCATCTCAATGCTAATTTATGAGATGATTCTCCGGGGCGTCTTAACAATAGAGACACTTCAAGGCATTTTTTCAGGAAATGTCATAATATATATATTTCTTGTAGGGGTGTTCTTATTCCTACGCAAATATCTATCATCGACTCCGGCAAAATCACAAATCGCCAAACTCGAAAAATCCATATTGGCGTTAAATAATGAAATACAAAAAATGAAAGGAGAGGCGGAATGGGATCGTGTATCGCAAGGTAAGGAAATTTTCATCACTCTGTCTTTTTGCATATATTCTCAAAGGTAAAGAGGTACTAACTTTTTATTATCTATCATTAGGTTCGTCTCAATTCTCTTCAGGCCGTGTATCTGCCAGTCAATATTTGGAATATCCCGATGAAGTTCAAACAATATGGGTGGAATTCACAGCCCTATTTAATCAAAGAAGAAGAAGGGAGAGACGCTCCCACACACAATTATACAATATAATTTCTCAAAGAAATCCATCTAAGTTCTGCGACTTTGGCGAGTTTCTACCGCTATCAAAAAACTCCAAGGACTACTTCCTTGAATAAAATCGAAGAATGGGTTGAAAGAGAAGGGAGGAGGAATTCTAGTAATAGCGGTAGTAGTAGTAATAATAGCGATAATGATGGCAATTAGTGGAGCCAAAGAATAGGAGCAGTCATTGTCTTTCGAGACGGGCTTTAGGTCCGACTGCAAGTGTTCTAATATATCGGACTAATTGCCTAATGCAACTATATGATATTTAGAGCGCGTTCTCCCATGCAACTCCGCGAAACTTTATTTTTATTATATCGAAAATACGAAAAATAATTTCTTTATTGTGATAAATTTTACAAAATAATTTTAATAAAAATATATTTAGAACTATAAAAGAATCTTGTTTTTTGCCTGCTACGTCTTATTTTCCTCGTCCACGGCAGATACCACAAGAATGTGAATATGCTTATCAAACATAGAAGGATCTTTAGCAAAATAATCGCTAACCTTATCCTCCGATTTCATATCCCTGTATGTTTTTGCCTCATAATCGATTGCGCGTAGAGAAAAAGAAGCATTTCTGAATTTTTCATCCAAGTGATATTTTTGGATTTGAGATTCTAATGTGGTAACTGGTGCATCCTTTTCAATACTAATACCAATTACTTAACATCGATCATATCCGAAAAATGCGCCAGTAGGGATAACAAGGAAAGCAACACGAATTAATTTGCCCATTTCCTACTGAAAAAAAAATATTATTTAGATGAATTTATTTATGCACCTCGCCTAGAAAAAAAGAAATACATTTATTTGTATAATCATGTCTACCTCAGGTCTCGCAGATAGGAATGTCGAGATACCAGTTAACAATAGGAAGTTTTTATATACAGAATAAATCAGGGTTAGAACATTGAGGAAATACATCCTGAATGTATATTGTTTTTCAGGTGAAATCATACAGCCCATATTAGATCATCCAGTGATTGGCTTGACATATGCTATTCAAACCGATAGGCCATCGCTTCATACTGATTATTTTTTCTTGGCGAAAATGATTTAATAGGAGTTGGATCACATGACTTCGATTTACATTCTATACAATCCAGCCGAAATATCGGACATCGCACAAATATGATTATTATATATAATTCTGCGCAGTTCGATCAACATATATCGGCTAAATTAGATCCGAATTATGTTTCAGCTAAATTGCCTCACACATCTGATACATTTTCAGGCCTAGTATTTTTTTTTTAACTGATTGCTAATATGTAATGAGGTATTTTTGCCTAGACTCGAGAATGATTTAATCGAATAATAACGGTGGCTTAGCTATCATGTTACAAACCAATTTAGCCGAAGACGCTGTGCATATGCATGTAAATATAAAATTAGCTTAGCCGAGAGATGGTCCTATATAAATTCCTCGCAAATTTACGTGATTCAAAAACCGTGAACACTGTACTAAGTTAGATCTACAAACCGATTTATTAAAATTCATATGGATACTTGAAATATAATCAATAGGAACTAGGAAGATCTTATGTGATACAAAATTTATAATTTAGCCGTCTATGGTGATCGGATCTAATTTAACCGAATCAAAAAAAAATATAAAAAAGTATGAATCTGTTTTTTACCTGAGCAATCGAATAAAAATG